ATCATTAATAATATATTACGGTATTAACCATGGTTGCTTACGTGAGCTTACTAATCGTGATATCCCTTGTAAATTGTAAGTTATTTTTAAATTTATAGTCTATTAGTAACTATTATTTAAAATAAATGAGTGAGTGATGAGGGGAGAGAGAGAGAGAGAGAGAGAGAGAGAGAGAGAGATGACAAATGCCTAATAAATGTATTACTATTACGACGGTTAGGGGTGGTCGGGGCCGCTGTGTATGATACAGAGGCTGACCACGCGTTTGATAGGCTAGAGTTCTTCGGCACCGGAACCCCATTACCCGAGACAGCGGACGACATCAACGAGTTTTGCGAATTTTTGTCTGGAAATGGCGGCCAAACGTAATCATTATTATATCATTATTAGATAATTACCGTATAAGTGGTATGACCAAGGTGTCTAGTAGTCGAATAGGGTTCACAAATATTTTAAAAGACAGACTAAACTAATATTAACCGTATCATATCAAAATCCCGAAATTCAAAACCTCAAACATCAAAACCCCGAAATTCAAAATCCCGAAAATTATAATAACTATATAAATAATTATTTTTAATTTAGTTAATAATATAAAATTTATTAATACTATTAGAATAATCATTTTAAACCTAATTAGTGTCATACTAGTAAATAAATATCTCATCAAATATTAAATATTGTAATTATTGGCTGAATTTTATTAGTGTATAACATAATTACTCTAATAATATCAATGAATTTTACATTAACTAAAGTAAAAATAATTATTTATATAGTTATTTTAATTTTCGGGATTTTGATTTTCGGGATTTTGAGGTACTCCCAATATTAACAAGCTATATTTTGATAATACAGTATATTTATCGGGTACATCTACCAGCACTAAATTATTAAATTCCTATCCCATATACAGTAATAATTTTACCTAGATATCATTGTTATAACTAAAATGTGGTCAATATTTAGTCACTACCAGTCGGATACAAATAAGAGCCAAAAATTTGTGGCCACACTGAAAGAGCCCCTGAAGGCCCTGCACGGGGCGGTGATCGACAGACATAATCCGGGTCTTTTCGTACGCAACTTCTGTTCGATGCCCAACAACACGGCGGTGGCCAAGGGCTGGAACAGTCGACTCGCGACCGCCAAACTGCTGAACGATGCGACTGTCGGACAGCTATTGCGGGCCCTTAAGGACGACCGGCGCGACTCGCAAACCGGTATCTATTGGTATGTATTCGTAATTATATCACTTTTGTTAGAGCACTCGACCAACTAGTACAGGACCCAGGTAACTTATATTGCAACTTATATTAATCAATAGTGTTACATTTTGTTTTGAACATTTTGCTACATTATGTACAATATATTATGCAAATTTTAAGTTTAGTCCCAAAAATGCTTACGCTAGCTTTTAGCTAGTACTAATAACTATGCCAATGCTGTACCCTGTTCACACAAATAGCATACTGGGCTCGTTCGCCGAGCAGATGGAGCTGAGTCACGCCGAGCCGCCAGAGTTGAGGGCATTCATGAGGGGAATGGTGGCCGCGATCGCCGACTTGGCCGACACGGCCGAGCACTTGCAACTCGGTTGGCGTTCAGATAATAAGTGCAAACTGGAAAGCCGTAAGCTTAGTTTGCTTGAGGGCAAACTGGATGGTCTTCGCTCCATACAGTACATCGCCCTACTGGCCATGAACAAATATTTCTAAACAAACATAATGGATTATTTATTTACGCGTGAATATAGTTATATTTATTATGAACATGTTGTTATCATTATAATCTATGTCAAAAATAAATTGATGTACCAAGAATTAAAAAAATTTAAATGCAAATTGTTTGAGTTGTTTATTGCCCTAAAAATTAATACGCTAATCAAATTGACCAGTGTGAACTATATTTGAATCCTAGGTATATACAACAGATGAGCTAATCTAATACGTTATTGAGTTTTAGCAGTGGGCCCAACGGCTTCTCCGCCTTAACCACGATATGACACAACGAGGTCTTCGTGAGCACCGTCTCGGCCAACGAGTCGATCCGCGACCACAACAACGCGCACAGCATTTGGACATCGCTTTTGTGGCTTAACTTTTGCCACACCATAGGCTTTGTGTTCAAGTCTTTCTGTTATTCATATTACAGTTATATTGTATGAATATTAAATTATTTTATTTACTAGTAAAGACAAATTTGTTTAATTAATAAATAGTCAATAAGTTATAATTCTCATTGAAAATGCTGTAATGCTATTTATTTCCAATTACTATTATTTATCCTTAAAGCTACCTTTCCTGTAATACTTCCCTTACAGTTAACGGTACGACTATTCAAAATACATTGTTTCATGAATTTTAAATTACAATATTATTTAATTATATTGTATATTTAATTTTATACTCGTAGATTAAATTAAATATATATGTTATACTGTATGACCTTTATAATTGTTATATTACAGGTTGATAAGATATATAAAATATTGCAATTCTAGTATTTATTACAATATAAATGTATTTAAAGCATCATAAAGTGCCCAAAGTACTTGAGATATAAATATTTCACTATCATTGTGTAATATAAAAATTATTCAGTTGCTTTCATCTAAATCAAGATTTTATCACATGTTACTTTACGGCTTTAATTATATTTGATAATGTCATGGATACGTGATTAAGTGTATTAATCACCGTAAAATATAATACAAAAACAAACATTTTGCTAATTTATATGACATTTATAAACCAAAACTTAAACTAAAATGTGTGCCAAGAAGTCCCAAAAACCTAAGAAATCAAATATGATTTGTGGAGTTTGTGGCGATACAGCTATCGGTAAAGATTACCTGTCTAAATATGTTGATAACTATATTAGTTAATATTTGTTTGATGTTTAGCCCGTAATTTTGGTGCAATAGCCTGCGAGCCGTGTAAAGCATTTTTTAGACGATATGCATTTAAACAAAGGGTTTGTATAATTTTAAAATATAATTTAACAATAAAATTTATGTTAATGTTAAAGTTATTAAACTATCATTTTCATTTTCAAAATAGTGGCTCATTTGTGCCACATATGGCAAATGTAATATAACTGTCAACACTAGAAGTTATTGTAAAAAGTGCAGAATTGAGAAATGTTTTTCTATTGGCATGAGAAAGGTAATTATGCTTTCAGTTCATAGTATGGCTTAATTAATGTATAAAAACATATCAAATGATAGGAAATCATTAGGACTGAAGAGGAAAGACAGAGCAAAAGACTTTTGATTGAAGAAAATCGTCTTAAGAAACAAAAACTTAATGAATGTTCAGATTCTGTGGACTCGACCTTTAATTCTGTAGATTCTGTGACTATTAATTCAGACGATTCTCATTCTATAGTCGAAAATGACTTTATTATGGAATTGATTGAAAATACTATAGAAATAAGTGACGAAAAACTCGAGGAACAAATCATGGAAATTGAAACTTACATCATTAATAGTACCCGGGATATCTATAAGCAAATATCAACCAGGTCACCAATTATGCCTATATATAGAGAGCTCACAGACTATAATAGTTTGAATGAATTGGAAAACAAACGAATTTATGAGCTGAAAAATGCATCAAAAATGTACAATGGGGTCCTGGATAAGTTAAATACCATTTTAAGGGATAAAAAGCCATATAAAGTAAAGGATATGAAAGAAATGTTTGACATCACAATGAGTAGGACTGAACCAAATGTTAAGACTCTTATACATTACGTGAAGGGATTGAACGGATTCACTGGGATGTGCCCCGAAGATCAGTTTATATTAGCCAGGGGTGCCTACCCTGAGCTTAATTTCATGAGATGCCTTATGTTTTATAATGTTGATACTAGGAACTTTATACTGAAAATGGTGTGTAATTATTGCTGAAAATTATCCCATATAACATTTATGAATTTACACATGTATTTGTATACAATTTGACGCAATTTTGTATAATATAGGATGAAAAGACATTAGTGAGTGTCAGTATTGATGTGTTTGGTCAATATGCACACAAATTCAGTTTCTCGTGTCAACAGATTATGGAGCAATTATTATTGAATTTGTGTCAGGATCATACGACACTTGAATTGGTACTATACATTTTTGTAGAAATTAAGTAGAAATAAATATTTTAATTATTCTGTATATCCAACACATCCATAGCTCATTGCAATACTACTATTTGATCCAAACCGACCAAATTTAGCACACCAACAAAATATAAAGTATTGCTACTACTGTATCTTAATTAATTATTTTAAACAATTAAATTTAACTACAATTTTTGTGATAGACTCGAACAGCAACTATACATATATTTGCTGCAAAGGTATCTATTAATGAAATATGGATTGGAATGGGAGTCAAGACTACAGAAACTGATGATCACATTAAGGGACTTACAAGTGATGATTGAATTCCTGAGAATATACAGTAGGGATAAAAATAAGCACTATTTGCCAAACTATGCCTCAATTCTGATTCAGGGACTTAATTAAACTAAAATCTGATCTGGGTTAAACCAATTGTGTTGAGTAACTCGAAGAACATTTAAGATATTTTGGACCACTAACCAGGGAGATATAAAAAATTCATTGTGGTTGCATTCATAATAATTTATTTATTATGATGCTAAGTAATTTATTTTCAAGTTAACTTATAAATTGTGAATATTTATTTTGAATATAAAATCTATTAATAAAGTTATTATAAAATATTACTTAATTATATTTCATATTTAATTGTATACCATTTTTATTGTACTGTTATACTGTACAGTACTGTGTTATGAGTGTTATGTCTAGATTGTATCATATTACTTTACGGCTTTAATTGTATCTGGTAATGTCATGGATAAGTGATTAAGATTAGTCATTGAAAAATAAAAATATTAAATTAAAAATTTAGCAATACTAAATTAAACTACAATTAACAATGTGTGCGGAAGTCACTCAAATCTAACAAATCAAATATTAAACACATGTATCATAAATAGTTTACTAAATAAATTACATAATATTCTTTGATGTTTAGCACAAAATTTAGATTCTAAACTTTATTTAAAAATTTTTGACAATTAAAAAAATATAAAAATAAATTAGATTATTAATAATAACTTATATAAAATATTTTATTCAATTTGTAATTATCGCATTTGTAATGAATTCACATTTCATTATAATTTAATTAAAACATTATTTTAGTTTCAATAGCAATAATTTTAATTATAATTATTTGGGACACTTATCCGGTTCAATGCAATTGTAGTTGTCATCCCTGACATACCCGGGCTTACAGACACAGGGCCCGCCACACGTGTGGAGCAACGAACACGTCCCATACCTTTGATCCTTGTTCTCACACGTGGCCATACAGTTCGGGTCTCCCATGCATTCTGTATACACTTCATTGGCATTACAACTCAACCTAGGACACTTACTCGGCTCAATTGTTGTTGTCGTCCTTGACATACCCGTGCTTACAGACACAGAACCCGCCACAGTGTAAGCTCCTCGGACACATAGTATCCTTATTATAGTTGTCACATGTGATCGTACACACCTCATGCCCTTGCATTTTGCATACACTTCATTATCCTTGGTACAATTCGATGGACCTATGGCAATCATTATTAATTTTATATAACACACTACCTTTTCAACATACCTTGGACATGTGTACGTTCAATACCATGAACTTGTACCAATTGTTTTAGCGCAGTGGAAAACACGATGAATACTATGAACCGATTTATATAGACTAATACAGTGCGACACGCATTACAGTGAATGTCAAAGAATTGAATCAATGAATGCATGCATTGTATAGCACTGTATGGAAAGCACTAATTTTTTGTGCACTCAAAACACGCGCTTTTGACTTTACATTAAGATTATGACCTAGGTACAAATGTTATGCAAATTTGGTGACATAGGTGACAATGTTCATTATTGGTGAACATTTTGAGGTACTTTTCATTTAAATATTCAAATGTTTAATATTTTTATTTTAAATACCAAATCCTTGGTTTGAAATGAAATACCCTTTAGTTTAACCCAGGTCATGAATATTAATAATTTCTTTATTTACTATCGAGTATGTTATTATGTTAATATGAGACTCGATTATATGAAACAGCGACAAATATGTCTATGAGTAATATAAGATTAAGATTTGCATTGGTTTACTATGAGACACGCTCCAAATAAAGCTTAATCCTATATTACTCATAGAAATATTTGTCGCTGTTTCATATAATCGAGATTATTATAGAAAATAATATATTTATACTAATAGGTTATTAGTAATATCATTAACATAAAGTGAAAGCATTATTAACCATGTACATTTTAAAAACATAGAATTTATAATTATGTAGCCTTATATTTTTAGTAGAAAGAAATATCTTGGTACTATACGTTTTTAGTAATTTATAATTTATATTAATAATGTGTATATTTTTAAAATTATAGTTATTTTTAGTAGTTTAAAGATAAATTTATTTGTAAAGCTATTACTTTCATTAAAATTTGTTCAAAGTTAAAAAATAACATACCAGTGTCATGGTTACAAGATTAAACTAATTTATGATATTGTTGTACAAACAGTAAATAAACATTATAATTACCAAAATAATAAAATGAGTGTTAAATCCAACAAAATTTGTGGCGTTTGCGGTGATAAAGCAAATAGTATGTGATATTGGTATTAATATTTTAGCAAGGTTTTTTAATTTTGATTACGTTGTATGTTTAGTCCGAAATTACGGGGCATTAACATGCGAGCCCTGTAAGGCATTTTTCCGGAGATATGTGTTTAGATCCGAGGTCTGATACTGTGGATACTAAATACTGTAGATTACCATGATCACATAATTATATAAGTTAATTATGAATTTATTTTAACAGTCTATCAAATGTTCATCAAATGGCGGGTGTATTATAAACCTCATGACGAGGGGTTTCTGTAAGAAATGCAGAATTGATAAGTGTTTGGCTATTGGAATGAGAAAGGTAAATGATAGTTATTAATAGCTTGTTCAGTTATTTATCTTTATATAATTGACTATTTGATAGGAAATCATTAGGACTGCAGAGGAAAAACTGAGACAAAGGCTATTGATTGAAGAAAATCGTCTTAAGAAACAAAAACTTAATGAATGTTCAGATTCTGTGAACTCGACCACCGATTCACTGATTATTAATTCAAATGATTCTCAATCTATAGTCAAAAATGACTTTATTGTGGAATTATTTGGTAATACTATAGAAATAAATGATCATAAACTTCAGGAACAAATAATTGAAATTGAAAAATATATCACTACTAATACTCGTAATATAATAAAGAAAATATCAACCAGGTCACCAATAATGCCGATTTACAAAGGGCTCACTGATTATAAAGGTTTAAATCGACTCGAATATAATCGCATTAATGAATTGTTAACAACATCTCAAATGTACAAAAGGGAAATACATTTCATAAATAACACAATTAATGACCAAAAGATATATAAAGTACAAGACCTGAAAGAGCTGGATGAAACCACAAAAACTGGTCACACGGTTAAGACACTCATTCAATATCTAAAGGGATTGAACGGATTTACTGGGATGTGCTCTGAAGACCAGTTAATATTAGTTACCGATGCTTACCATGAGGTGAACATCATGAGATGCCTTATGTTTTATCATTTTGAAACAAGGAACTTTATATTAAAGGTATGAATTAATTAGAAATTAATGATCATAAATTATTGCAACATATAAATTTATTTTCATTTGTGTTTTTGAAAGAATGGGAAATCATTAATGAGTATAAATATTGACAAATTTGGTCAAAGAATGGGACAAAAGCATAGTTTTTCGTGTCAACAGATTATGGAGCAATTGTTATTGAGTTTGTGTCAGGATCATATAATTCTTGAATTGGTAATATTAATAAGCATTTTGTTATATAAAGTTATAAAATTAGAAAATACTGTAATTATTCTTTGTATTCATAGCTCATTGCGATACTGCTATTCGATCCAAACCGATCTAATATAACACATCAGCAAACTATAAGGTATTATAAATATTTTAATTAACCTATCATATTTTAGTATTAATTTGAATATAATATTTTGTGATAGACTCGAACAGCAACTATACATATATTTGCTGCAAAGGTATCTATTAATGAAATATGGATCGGAATGGGAGTCAAGACTACAGAAACTGATGATCACATTAAGGGACTTACAAGTGATGTTTGAATTGCGAAGGATATACAGTAGGGATGAGAATAAGCAGTATTTGCCAAACTTTACCACGATTATTAGCAATTATATGTGTGAATTACATTAAGGTTTCTAAAACTTTGGAAATGAAATACAGTATAATGTTATATATTTATGATTGATTTAAAAATAAAATTGTTCCAGAATCATAGTTGTAACTAAAAAAGTTAAATTCATATTTTATTCATCATAAGCTAATAAAAGATAATTTATAAAACGTTTACTATTGTTGCAGAATGAATTAAGTTGATAATTATTATATCAGTGTCATGGTTACTTAATTATGATGAAACCAATTATTATTAACAGAATATTATATTTATTAAGACTAATAAAATGAGTGCTAAATCTAACAAAATCTGCGGGGTTTGCGGTGATATAGCAAATGGTATATAATATTTTATATAAAATAAAAGTAAAAGTATTAGGTAAAAGTATCTTATTACATTTGTAATTTAATTATTTGACTAATAATTAGCCAGAAATTTTGGGGCATTAACGTGTGGACCATGCAAAGCTTTTTATAGGAGATATGCATTTAAACCAGAGGTACGTGATATAAACTGATCATAAATTATAATTATGATCATTAATTATAAATATGTTAATGCAAATACTATTCAAATTTTAAATTTCAATTAACAGTCATTAATTTGTGCATCAAATAGCAAATGTGTGATAAATGTCAATACAAGGTGTTTGTGTAAGAAATGCAGAATTGATAAATGTTTGGCCATTGGTATGAAAAAGGTAATAACCGTATAATTTATAATACTATATAAAGTTTTGGTTATATTTTAAGTGTTTGTGTTTAATAGGAATTTGTGCGAAATGCAGAGGAAAATGAAAGGATAAAGCATTTGATTGAAGAAAATAAACGCAAGAGAAAAGAGTGCAATGAATGTACAGATTCTGTGGACTCGACAACCAGTCCATCAAATCTATCATCAGATGAATCGCTAGTAATTAAACAAAATGATGAAAACAATGAGTTTTTATCGCAATTAATTGGAAACACACGCGATATTAGTGATGAAGAAATCAATGAACAGATTATGGAAATTGAAAGTGATTTTACAAATGATGTAATTAATAGGATTAGACAAAAATCACACCAAATAATGCCTATTAAAAGATCCATTTCCAATAACCAGTGTTTAAATGACTTGGAAATGCATAGGATTAATGAACTCCTAAACGCTTCCCGGGAATACAATATTAGTATTGAAAAAATAAAAGAAATATATACTGGTGACAAACCGCACAAACTAATTAATAAGTTTGAGTTATATGAGGTATCGGCTAAAAATACAGAGTTATCTCTTAAGGAAATGGCTAAATATGTGAAACAATTGAATGGATTCACAAATATATGTCTTGAGGACCAATCATCACTCGTAAAGTATGCCTTCCTTGAGATTAATACAGTCAGAAGTATCACGTTTTATGACATACAAACTGATTGTTTTAAATTTTGCGAGGTTAGTTTATTGTTTAGTAATCAATAGTAAATAACAATGATTGCTTAAAATATATAACTAGTACAATAAAAATTATACCCTAAATTCTAATAATAATGTCTATAATTTCTATTAATAGGATAATAAAGTTTTACAATTAAATGTGGACACATTAGAGCCAGAATTCAACTATAAATTCAAATTCTCGTTTAAGGATATTTTACAACAACTGTTTATAAATTTGTGCCAGGACCACATTATGATTGAATTGGTATTTCAAGTAGTACTGTATAAATTTAATAATAGTATTTTCTAAATAAATGTGCAAATATTTACAGTTAATTGCAATACAACTATTCAACCCAAACAGACCTAATATCAGGCATAAACACAACATTAAGTAAGAATATAAAAGCATAAAATTAATATACAAACTTTTTACGATAAAACACTGAATAAAATTCATTACTTTATTAACAGATTGCAGCAACAATTGTATTTATATTTATTACAACGTTATCTAGTAATAAAATATGGATCGGAATCCCAATTAATATTATCAGCGCTTATGAAGGCGTTAAACAATTTGCAAGAATTGAGTGCATTTTCCCGAGTCTATGATTCTCATGAATTTAAACCTTATTTAAAAAAGTGTAGTCCACTTGTCCAAGAATTATATGATTATTAATAATTAAATAACAATTACCAGTATATTTTAGTAAATACAAATTGAAAATCAGATTGTGTTTTAAAGTTTCCATATACAGTATTATTTTATTGTACGTTATCAAATGTTAATAGATTAGATTAATTAATTATTTTCTTATAAAATAAAATTCCACTTATATTTAAAATAAATATAAATTAAGTGTTAATGAATTCTACATATATTAAGTTAAACAAATTATGCGGGGTTTGTGGTGACAAAGCAAATGGTATGTCATATGAATATTTTTGTATACTGTACAATATATGAGAATGGGAACTTTAAAACCACCTTTGCAAAATTCCATATAAATATATATATTAAATGAGTGACACATAAATAAATATAATTTATATATAAACTGAATCATTCAATATAAATATTCTATATATATATTTATATAGAATTTTGCAAAGGTGGTTTTAAAGGTCCTATTCTCATATACTGTATTTTATTGACTTTGTATAAATATGAAAATTAAGCCAGGAATTTTGGGGCATTTACATGCGAGCCATGCAAACATTTTTTCAGGAGATATGTCCTTAAACCCGAGGTTTGATACATCCGATTGACTATAAAATTATCATAATAATACATAATAATTTGAGACACTTTAGTTGATAGTATTAATTGTGAGTTTATATTAACAGTCAGTAATTTGTGCCTCAAATGGCAGATGTATTATAAACGTTATCACAAGGAGTTCGTGTAAGAAATGCAGAATTGATAAGTGTTTAGCCATTGGTATGAAAAAAGTAATTATAATTTCTAATGTACTCTACAATTTTGTTTTGTGTTTTACAATAATTATAATTTTTTAAACAGGAATTAGTCCGAAATGCTAAACAAAATGAAAGGATAAGACTTTTGATTGAAGAAAATAGACGTAAGAAACAGGAGTGCAATGAATGTCCAGATTCTGTGGACTCGACAACCAGTCCATCAAATCAATCATCAGATGAATCGCTAGTAATTAAACAAAATGATGAAAACAACGAGTTTTTTTTGCAATTAATTGGAAACACACGCGATATTAGTGATGAAGAAATTAATAAACAGATAATTGAAATTAAAAATGATTTAAAAAATAATATGATGGATATGATGATAGAAAAATCATGTAAAACCATACCTATTTATAGACCCATTTCCAATAACCCGGGTTTAAATGAATTAGAAAGCAATCGTATTAATGAACTCCTAGAGGCCTCCCATAAATACATTACTGGTATCGAGAAATTAGAAGAAATATTTTCTGGTGATAAACAGCATAAACTAATTGATAGGTCGGAGGTAATCGAGATGTCGGTTAAAGGTGCAGACCTAGCACTTCAGGAAATGGCTAAATATGTGAAACAATTGAATGGATTCACAGATAACTGTCTCGAAGACCAGGAATCACTCGTAAAGTATGCCTTCTTTGAGATCAGTACACTGAGAGGGGTCACGTTATATGACATACAAACTGACTGTTTTAAAGTTTACAAGGTCAGTTTTCTAGTTATTAGTCAATGGTAATTAACAATGACTAAAATTTCTATTTATAGGACAATAAAGTTGTACTCATAAATTTAGATTCATATAGTTGGGGATCCAACTATAAATACAAATTCTCGGTTAAAGACATTTTAAAACAACTGTTTATAAATTTGTGCCAAGACCAAATTATGATTGAATTGGTATTTCAAGTAGTACTAGTATTTAATAATAGTATTTTCTAAATAATTGTTTGTAAATATTTACAGTTAATTGCAATACAACTATTCAACCCAAACAGACCTAATATCAGACATAAAGACAACATTAAGTAAGAATTTACAACTAAAAAATAAATTCAAAATAAAACATTGAATAAAATTGATTACTTTATTAACAGATTGCAACAACAATTGTATTTATATTTATTACAACGATATTTAGTAATAAAATATGGATCGGAATCCCAATTAATATTATCAGCGCTTATGAAGGCGTTAAACAATTTGCAAGAATTGCTTGAATTTTCTCGCGTGACTTTTTGTGTAACTCATGAATTTAAATCTTATTTGCAAAGGTGTAGTCCAATTGTCCAAGAATTATACGATTGCTAATAATGATTGCTTTTGTGAAGGATATACATTAGGGATTAGAATAAACTTGATTTACCAGACTATACCACAATTATTGGCAGATATATGCATGAACTACATTAGTTAACTAAAACAATAGAAAATGAAATATAATTTATAAATTTATGATTAATTAAAAACTTAATTCTTATATTACTTAATTGTAATAAATTACTTTTTTCCCAAAGTTTGCAATTCATGCAACTAACAAGTAAGTTATATTAAATTCATTAAATGTTAATAACGTACAAAATATAAAATGTTTATCATTGTTGTAGAATTTATTAAATGTTGATAAATAAAATATAAATATCATGGTTACTAGATTAAACAAATTTGTTGTTTTCTTACAATAAATAAAGTGCATATTTGTTGGAAACTTATAAAATGAGTGCAAAATCCACCAAAATTATTAAATGTTGATAAATAAAATATAAATATCATGGTTACTAGATTAAACAAATTTGTTGTTTTCTTACAATAAATAAAGTGCATATTTGTTGGAAACTTATAAAATGAGTGCAAAATCCACCAAATTTGTGGTGTTTGTGGTGACATAGCATATGGTATGTAATATACATATAAAAATCTGGACTAAAATATTTTACTGGTCATGTATTAAAAATTAATATACAAGATGTATTAACTAATTAGCCAGGAACTTTACGGTATTCACTTGTGGGCCGTGTAAATCATTCTTTAGGAGATATGCGTTTAGATCAGAGGTATATAATATTCAACTAAAACTAAATTATCAGGATAAATATTTAAATAGAATATCATACAGTAATATATTATATTATAACTATTTTAATTGTTAATTTCAAATAACAGTCAGTAAGTTGTGTATCAAATGGCAATTGTGATATAAATGTGAAAACAAGGAATTCGTGTAAGAAATGTAGAATTGATAAATGTGTGGCCATTGGTATGAGAAAAGTAAATATAATTTTCACGAATTTATATAAAATTTTAATTGTATTTTAAATGTGTTTGTGTTTTGTAGGAATTTGTCAGAAATGCAGAGCAAAATGAAAAGAGAAAACAATTGATTGAAGAAAATAAACGCAAGAGAAAAGAGTTCAATGAATGTCCAGATTCTGTGGACTCAACAACCAGTCCATCAAATCTATCATCAGATGAATCGCTAGTAATTAAACAAAATTATGAAAACAATGAGTATTTGTCGCAATTGATTGGAAACACACGCGATATTAGTGATGAAGAAATTAATAAACAAATTATAAAAATTAAAAGTGACTATATAAATCATATGATGGACAAGATAAAACAAAAACCATGTACAATAACATCTATTCATAGACCCATTTCCAATAACCAGACTTTAAATGAATTGGAAAGCAATCGGATTACAGAACTGCTAAAGGCTTCCCGTGAATATAATAATGGTATTGAAAAATTAAAAACCATATATACTGGTGACAAACCGCATAAACTAATTGATAAGTTAGAGTTATGTGAGAGATCAGCTAACAGTACAGAGTTAGCACTTATAAAAATGGCTAAATATGTGAAACAATTGAATGGATTCAATGATATCTGTCTCGAAGACCACGAATCACTCGTAAAGTATGCCTTTATTGAGATGAATACAGTCAGAAGTATCACGTTTTATGACATACAAACTGACTGTTTTCAAGTTTACATGGTTAGTTTATTTTCTATGAATTACTAGTAAATAGCATCGATTATTTAAAATAATTTATAATATTATATAACAAGTATAATAAAAATTATAATTTTTAATAATGATGATTATAATTTCTATTATATTTATAGGATAATAAAGTTTTACTAATAAATGTAGACTCATTAGAGCCGGATACAAATTCTCATATAAAGACATTTTAAAACAGCTGTTCATAAATTTATGCCAGGACCAAATTATGATTGAATTGGTATTTCAAGTAGTACTAGTATTTAATAAATTTAGTAAATTTAATACAGTAATAGTATTTTCTAAACAAATCTGTGCAAATATTGACAGTTAATTGCAATACAACTATTTCACCCAAACAGACCCAATATCAGGCATAGACACAATATTAGGTAAGCATATACAACTAAAAAAATAAATTCACAATAATACATTAAATAAAATTTACTATTTTATTAACAGACTGCAGCAACAATTGTATTTATATTTATGACAACGATATTTGGCAATAAAATATGGATCGGAATCGGAATTAATATTTTCAGCGCTTATGAAAACGTTAAACCATTTGCAAGAATTGAGTGCATTTTCCAGAGTTTATGATTTGCATGAATTTAAACCTTATTTAAAAAAGTGTAGTCCACTTGTCCAAGAATTATATGATTGTTAATAATTAAATAATAATTATATTTTAATAAATACAAATTAAAAATCAATTTTTGTCATAAAGTTTCCATGCATTATTTTATAGTTTGTTGTCAATTGTTATTACCAGATTAAATTAATTAATTATTGTCTTATACAATAAAATTGCACTTATATTTACAACAAATATAAATTAAGTGTTCATGAATTCGACACATTAAGGCAAACAATTAAGTGGCGCTTGTGATGACAAAATAAATGATATGTCATATGAATATTTTCACATACAATACAGTATAGTAATGTTATGGTTACTAGATTACATTTCTATTAATTTCATAAATAAATAAATTGCACATTTGATGGAAACTCATAAAATGAGTGCCAAATCCACCAAAACCTGCGGAGTTTGTGGTGATATAGCTAGAGGTATGTAATATTGTAACATGCATATAAAAATTTTATTAAAATACTTAATTTAAGATTATATATATTTATGTCAATAAAATATTAATATTTATCAACTTTATTAAATAATTAGCCAGGAACTTTGCGGTATTAACTTGTAGTTCGTGTAAATCATTCTTTAGGAGATATGCCCTTAGATCAGAGGTATGTTATATTCAAATAAAGATTAATTATCAAGATAAATATTTAAATAGAATATAATATCTTGTAACAATTATAATTGTCTATTTACATTAACAGTCAGTAATTTGTGTATTGAATGGCAATTGTGATATAAATATCAAAACAAGGAATTCGTGTAAAAAATGCAGAATTAATAAATGTTTTGCCATTGGTATGAGAAAGGTACTTAACTTATTATTTTTACAAAGTCTATATTGAAATTTAGTTGAATTTTGAATATTTATATTTTTCAATAGGAGTTCATACGAAATGTTGAGAAAAATGAAAGGATAAGACGTAAGAAACAGGAATGCAATGAATGTCCAGATTCTGTGGACTCGACAACAAGTCCATCAAATCTATTATCAGATGAATCGCTAATAATTAAACAAAATGATGAAAACAACGAGTTTTTGTGGCAATTATTTTCAAACACTTGCGATATTAGTGATGAAGAAATCAATGAAGAGATTATGGAAATTGAAAGCAATTTTATAACTGAATTGATAGAAAACATTAAACAAAAAACACCCAAAATAGTGTCAATCTATAGACCCATTTCCAATAACCAGGGTTTAAATGACATGGAAGGCTATAGAATTACCGAGCTGCTAAACGCTTCCCATGAATACTACATTGGTCAAAAAATGAAACAGTTACATTTATATACTAAAAGTGATGTCCCGCATAAACCATTGCTTAAGTTTGAGGTATTTGAGAGCACCGGTAGAAAGACAGAGATAGCACTTACAAAGATTGCTAAATATGTCAAACAATTGAATGAATTCACAAATATATGTCTTGAAGATCAAGAATCGCTCGTAAAATATGCCTTCTTTGAGATCTATACAGTCAGAAGTATACCATTTTATGACTCGCAAAATAATTGTTTAAATATTTATGAGGTTTGTATATATTGTTAATTAATTAATTATAAACTTCCAAAGTTAGTAAGTATACAGGTACTATAATAATTATAATATTCTTTAATGCTTTTAAAGGATAATAAGGTTTCAGTTATTAACCTGGACGCATTTGAACCGAAATTTAATTATAAATACAAATTCTCGTACAAGGAGATCTTAAAACAAGTGTTTATAGATTTGTGCCAGGATCACATTATAATTGAATTGGTATTTGAATATATATTTATTTGTATTATTTAAAATGTAGTTTTTTAAAATGTTTTAAAATATTTACAGCTAATTGCGATACAACTTTTCAACCCAAACAGACCCAATTTAAAACATAAATACAATATTAAGTAAGAATCCCACAATTAACTGACTCATGATAATAATAAAACTGAATAAATATCATATTATTATGTTATTAACAGATTGCAGCAGCAATTGTATTTATATTTATTGCAACGATATCTGGCAATAAAATATGGATCGGAATCGCAATTACTATTTTCAACACTTATGACGGCGTTAAAGGATTTGCAAGAATTGTGTGAATTTTCACTAATTTATGATTATAATGAATTTGAACCTTATTTGCAAAAGTGTAGTCCAATTGTCAAAGAACTATACGACTATAAATAATTAAATAAAAATTACATTATTATTGAAAAGTTAAATTGTTTCTTAAAGTATCCTTACATTTTTATTGTACATTATTTAAGGTTATTAAATTAAATTAATTTATTAGTTTTGTTATACAGTACAATAAAATTGCACATATATTTATATGAATTATTATTTGAGTGCTAATGAATTCTACACATAATAAGTCAACCAAATTATGTGGTGTTTGTGGTGACAAAGCAAATGGTAAGTCATATGAATAATGTCGTATACATTATTTACTTTATTGAAAATGTATAAAAATTAAGCCAGGAATTTTGGGGCATTCACATGCGAGCCATGCAAACATTTTTTCAGGAGATATGGCCTTAAACCTGAGGTTTGATACACACCTAAAAATCAATAGATAATTAAGATAACATGTTACTTTATTATACAAATATAAATTCTATTATCAATAAAATGAATTAATTTTAAATAGCAACTGAGTTGTGGATCAAATGGCAATTGTATCATAAACTCAAAAACCAGACGTTTATGTAAGAAATGCAGAATTGATAAATGCTTGGCTATTGGCATGAAAAAAGTAAGTAATTTGATACCCCTTGATAGGTTTTGTTTTCTACATAATTGTAAAATTACTTATAATATTGTGATAGGAGTTTGTCCGGAATATAGAGGAAAATAAAAGGATAAGACATTTGATTGAAGAAAATAGACGTAAGAAACAGGAGTGCAATGAATGTCCAGATTCTGTGGACTCGACAACCAGTCTATCAAATCAATCATCAGATGAATCGCTAGTAATTAAACAAAATGATGAAAACAATGAGTTTTTATTGCAATTAATTGGAAACACACGCGATATTAGTGATGAAGAAATCAATGAACAGATTATGGAAATTAAAACCGATTTTATGAATGATGTGATTAATAGTATTAGGCAAAAATCACACCAAATAATGCCTATTAACAGATCCATTTCCAACAGCCAGTGTTTAAATGACTTGGAAATGCATAGGATTAGTGAATTGCTAATCGCTTCCCATGAATACAATAGTCGTCTTAAAAGTTGGAAAGAAAACTATTTTAATAATTTCAAGTCATACAAAATAGTGGATAAGTTTGAGTTTTTTGATATTTCAGTTAAAGGTTCAGAGTTAGCCATTAAGGAAATTGCTAAATATGTGAAGCAATTGAATGGATTCAAAAATATCTGTCTCGAAGACCAGGAATCACTTCTTAAGTATGCCTTCCTTGAGATTAATACAGTCAGAGGTATCAGGCTATATGACATACAAACTGAAAGTTTTAAGTTTTATGAGGTTTGTTTAAATTTATAACAATGGCTATAAATATATGATAAAAAAGATATAAGTTATTAGTAAATAGTTCATAATGTATATAATGCTTATTTTTAGGATAATAAAGTTTATGAAATGAGCATGGATCTATTAGAACCAAAATTCAACTGTATTTCTAAGTTCTCGTATAAAGACATTTTTAGACACATATTTCTACATTTGTATCAGGATCACGTTATGATAGAATTGGTATAGATTTTTGATTGTATTTTATGATTATATTGATTTTTGTAATATTATGTATATTTTCTAAATGTTAACAAATATTTACAGCTAATTGCAGTATTACTATTCAACCCAAACAGACCCAATATAACACATAAACACAATATTAAGTAAGAATATAAACTATAAAGAATTATCATTTCTAAAATTATTTATAATAATAGGCTGCAGCAACAATTTTATTTATATTTATTACAACGATACCTATTAATAAAATATGGACCGGAATCGCAATCAATATTATCGGCATTTATGAAGGCTTTAACCGATTTGCAAGAATTGGGTGAAATGTCCCGAATGTATGGCATCCATGAATTTAAACCCAGTTTGCAAAAGTGTGAACCACTTGTCCAGGAATTGTACGATTGTTAACATAATGTAAAAATATTGTTTAATAAATTTAAATCTATTTTTAATGACAAACAAAATAATCAATCATAGTCTCTAAAAATAATATTTTCCTTAAAGTACTCATACAGTCTTAACTAAATGTTGTCATCAATTAGCTGTAATTAGTAAAAATATCAAGGAAAAGTGCTAAGAGCTTTTCCAAAAACCTTTTTATTTATATGCGAAATTCCTCATAAACCAAATAACCTTGGTGCTAATTAGCTTTTAATATATAAAGTATCAAACTTCATTAAAAATAGTTTTACGTTAATTAACATCAAATAAAAATTAATGTCTATTGTAATATTTTTAATCTTTAAGAAAATATTAATTATAATCCATTGATAAATATTTTCATCGAAATTTCGTAATAAGTAATCATAAGTTGTAATAGCTTACAATATAAAGATTAATATAATTAGTCACCATTTGTGACTATTTTTGATAATAATAAAAAAATTCAATTTTCAAGCAAACAAGTGATGTAATCATATAATAATTGTACTCAAAAAGTGATAATAATTATAAGCTATCTGTAACTATAGATATTAATATTTCGTGCACCTTTATTGCACTATGATTATTGTGATACTATTATTAACTATAACATTGTAGAAATTTAAGTAATTTGGGTACAAATATATTTAATGAATATTAAATTTGTTGATAATTATTTAAACAATTATAGTCTAATTGATAAGTTTGGGAAAGACTATCATATAAAAGGAATTGTGTTTATAAAAAAATATAGTATAACACTTGAAAATGAGCAAGAAAGTGGATAAAATATGTGATGTGTGTGGTGATATCGCATTAGGTATGTCGATGTTTATTAATTATAGTTATTTAACTAATAAAAATATTCTGAAAATTAAATCTAGCCAGAAACTTTGGGGCAATAGCTTGCGAATCGTGCAAAGCATTTTTTAGACGGACTGCAAATAAAAATATTGTAAAACATGACAATCAAATGAATTAATTTTTATTATATTATTATAATTGTTATCTCATCAGGAACTGGAGTGTCCATCGGATGGTGATTGCGATATTGATGTCCAATCGCGAGCATTATGTCAAAAGTGTAGGCTTAATAAATGTTTGGCTATTGGCATGAAAAAGGTAGTTTTAAAAACAAATAACATGTATAATATATTTGTATTCAGGTACAATTTTAAAAATGCTATAAATTATTTGTATTATGCAACAGGAATTCATACGGAGTGATGAGGAAAATAAACTGAGAAAGCATGATTAGAGAAAATAAACGCAAACGAAAACAATTGTATGAGAGATACAAATGTATGGTCTCGTCGGCCACCGACTGGCCCCCAAATGGACAGACACTTCATGACAGAAACCATGAGATTTACTGTCAAGAGATCGATAACCTAATTGACAGCCCTTTGAACATCAGCGACGATGCGCTAAACCACGAGATTATGGAAATTGAAACGTATGTCACAAATGGCTTCAATAATATACTCATACAAAGTCTGCGACAAAAGTCATACCAACACCCGATTACACCGGTATT